TCATTATTGTCGTCATCATCATCATCATCGTCGTCGTCATCGTCATCATCATCTTCGTCGTCATATCGTCGTTGTCATCATCATCATCATCATTATCATCATCATTATCATCATCATCGTCATCAGTATCATCGTCGTCGTCGTCGTTATCATCATCATCATCAGCAGCAGCATCAACACCAACTTTCACTTTACCTTTAAGCACAAGGGCAAGAAACACTAAACACCAAAAAATAGACACATTGCCATTCCTACAAGAATGTCGTAAAAGTCGACCAATTAGGTGTGTTTCCTTCAAAATCTAAGTGTATCTGTCTAAGAGGCGAGAAACAAACAGTCTGATTAGTGAAACGGATGCGTACGCAAGACTAAAATCCAGAAGTGGACGAACAACTAGAACTTTCCTAGAGAGTTTACAGCCTGTGAACGCAAAGAAAAATGAGGAGAATGTGATATGTGTGCAAGAAACAAAGTCTACTCACTGTTACAAACAATGCGCAATGAATCCGTATAAAACAGTAAATGGGCCAATTAATACACAATGCAAAAGCAACAAATATAATAAATGTCTAAGCAACTTTTCAAAACAGCAGTTGTAAGACGTTTGCAAAAAACATTATGTTTTCGTTACATTAAAAAATACAAGGATATGATTATTAACCGCAGCATGCCAAATTTGAATAACTGACACCCGACGGTTATTTAGTTACAGATTTTTAAAAATCTGGCAGGACTTCTGGAACGGACCAGTGTTGCCACTTTGAATGTTTTACATTCAGATTTAAATGTTTTTCCTTGCATTTAGATGGCGTTTTTGACGTTTAGATGGTATTTGTTTTCTAGATGTTTTTCATTTGGAGTAAATTTATCAAATCTAACCTAAGAAACAGGATAAAATTTGACCTCTTAACTGCTATCTTGACAATAAAATTCGGCCTGATAAGAGTAGGAAAAGGCTGTTCTGCTTATCAGCTCCCTGATAGGGTATTAAAAGAAATTGGAACAGGGCTATTCAACTAAGTTTGCTCGCGGGCCAAAATGCTGAACATGGAGACCGTCGCGGGCCACTGGCCCCCCGAGCCCACAATACAATTGACAACATTTTCAATCTGTAGATTTAATGCACTCGAAAACTATTACGCCTAGGACGTAGCCTATATAAATGTAGCAGTGTTGTTAGTTAGTTGGTTAGTTAGTTAGTTAGTTAGTTAGTTAGTTAGTTAGTTAGTTAGTTAGTTAGTTAGTTAGTTAGTTAGTTAGTTAGCTGGGTTATCATCATTGCACTCCGGATATGTCCATAGGCGCTCAGATCCTCCCCTCAGTATGAACCCCAACGTCGGATGGCTAATAATACCAGTTCTATGTTGATTAACAAGTCCTCTGGCGTGTCTGGTGTGCGTCTCGTTTTTTGCTATGCCGATCTTAATTCCCAAGTCTGCCATTCTGGCGAGTGATGTGGATTCACTGCCACCAAAGTCTTCTATCCTTCCCATTTCTCTGAGGGCATTGATAATATCAGCATGCTGACCGTCGGTAGTGATAGCGGATCCAGCCAAATTGTCAGCTCTTTCATTTCCATCAACGCCTGCGTATCCCGGAACAAAAATAGTGGAACAGTGGAGCAGTGTTGTAAACCATTATAATGTAAAGTGTACTACAATCTTCTGTAATGATTAATTAATACTCACTTTTAATTCTTCTTCTTCTTCTCCGTATTCATCGGCTGTAAACTCCAGCGGAAAGTACTGGTTGTACATCTACTTCTGGACTCTAGTCCCGTTCCAGAAACTTAGTGTTGCGTACAGATCCGTTTTACACGTCTTACTCATTTGCATGCAGACTAGGTTCCTTGGCTCTCAGGCAGATATACTCCGACTTCGAAGAAAGCTCTTAATTAGTCGACTCTTACGACATGCTTTTGGGTAGGCAGTGGGTCTATTCTCGTTTCCCCACAATAGGGCCCCGGAACCCACACGAGGATAACTTTTAATTGAAATACACCTATTTCCAACTTGTCGATGGAATCATAAATAAACCTTACCATTGTCACAATAATAATAATAACTGTCCACAGTTGGTTTCATGTTCTGCAGAAGTAACCGAAAGGTATAACGATGCACAATGTAATTAATGGGAAATGCTGCATTTCCATTTTTGAGCTAATTTTGCCAAATTTGGCTGGTGAGAAGTTAGAGCAATTCTCATGCAGTCCTGCAGCCTATAGTTTGACTGTTTGTCTTGATGATATTCATGTGTGAGAAGCTTGATTCACATGGTGAGTATGAATACAGCAAGTTTTCTAGCATTAGGGAGCTGCTCCTGTTGAATCCTCTCGTTCCAAAACTTGACTGTACCACTTTCTTGAAAATCTTCATTCACTGCGCTGGAACTTAGCATATCCACAAGTTCTAACTGCAGAGAACCTTCATCAACAGAGGATATAAACTTCTTAGCACTGGAACAAAAATCACCCGCAGGAGGAATTTTAAAAGGATCCCGAACAAATAACATTACATTGTTTGGGATATTGAAGTCGTCAAATTTGTTGTTTAAATTATTCTAAAGCTTTTTAAAAATATTTATATCATCGATCGGTTAAGGTTGCCGAGTCCAGTGTTGAAGACATGAAATGGCAAGCATACTGGTTTCGAAATAGGCAGAGTTGGCGATATAAAAACATATTTCAGTGTTCAGTCACTGCTGAATGCACGTTTTTCACATGCCCACTTACTAGTGCTAGCCATGGTATAAAGTTTTAAACTAAATTATTAAAATTAGATAATTTAAAACACTGTTACTGATTCAGTTTGTTAATGTACAATCGCCTCCGACAATCTACGTCTGACTGTGACTGTGAATGTGACTGGACGTTCTTCTGGACGTTATAATCTGATAACAAGATCACTAGCAGGTATTCTGCCGTGTCCAGTGTCTGCTGCATACAATGGCATTAGTTTGTAGCGCCCATTAAGAAGAGATTCTCTGTAATCTAAGCTCTAACTGTCAGGACCGTGCTGGTATTTCCCCACGCCTCCGGTCCAATAAATATCTCACCTTCATTGAATGTCCAGTGCAGCGGTGGCCTTTCCACTCGTTACTTGGTACTTTCCAGCCTATCCTATTACCCTTGGCTTAAAAAAGGCGTGTTTTGCAATTTGAGCGAACTGGGAATGAACTTTTACCCTGATCTAATTACTTGTTCTGTTTCTATGCCGGTGCCCTTGTACCTTCGTATTTACAGATTCCTGAAAACACTTCCAACTGACACATTTGACACGACTGGTTTTTGAGGAATATACAGAAGCTTTGAGTGATTTAATTGTTGTTTTTTTCAATAACTACATTTCGCTATTTTGGCAACGATCGGCGGGCCACTTGCTAGGCCTCGGCGGGCCAGATTTGGCCCGCGGGCCGCCAGTTTAATAGCCCTGAGCTAAAGCATACACGAGTCATTTTGGATCTGAAGCTTCAACTTCATCATCCAAGCTAAGTTTATTCTGTGGATCTTGTAAGGCAGACTTCAGTAAAGATGAAGACATGATTATATAGGGTAAGTCATATTAGTTGCTATCTAATTTGTCACTCTTTCCATTTGGAAGATTTTTTCTGAATGTTTTCCACGAAAATTTAGATGTTTTTTATATATTTTTTTGACTCCTCTCCGTTTTGGATGTTTTTTGTCAAAGAAAAGTGGAACGGACTATACAGCTTGCGATTTGCATTTTATCTAGTCTGTCGTCTTCTATCTTTCAGATTTTGTTTCCTACATAAAAGGTTAAAAAAAAATAAAATATTTGCCACGCCTTCGTGCCAGCTAGGCCTATATTATTCTTTATGGGTACCGATAAATACACGGTGTTATTGTTTGTTATGTATAATCTTTCCAGGGCCTCGAGTACCCGCTCCCCCTCCTTTTTTTGTTCCTCCTTCCTTTGTTAACTGTACTTTGTATCCTAAACATAGCCTTACGGTCCGATGGTTTTAGACTTGTTATTGTGTTTGTTACTGGATCTATGCTTGTTTAACAAAAATTTAAATCACATTTTGTGCCATTTCAACAGTTTGCGACGAATTCCATAATTGTACATAGAAGCAGTGACATAGTCATGAGTAATGAAGATAACTTTACCGTTAGTTAGTTAGTTAGTCAATTGGGTATCCTTTACAGGACGTTGTAGAACCAAACCCAGCATTGTTTGGCTGTTGTTGTTTTAAGGCAAATTTTACGCTCAGTAGTTTGCCATTGCTTTCTGGATGGTCAGCTCTCGGTACCACTTTCGTAACCATCGCAAGACAAACCGTCCGCGGCTGGGATCGAACCCGGCACCCCGGCATTACGAAGCGCGTTCGCAACGCCTAAGCCACAGACGCCGACACCTTTACTGTGGGGCATGCATATTTGTTCACTTGTTTCTGCAGCGAGTCATTTGGAGGTGACAAGTTCGATCCTCGGCATATAACTATAGCTTTCGATTTTTATGTTGTCTAGTGTGTCTGTCCCTCTGTCTTTATGCCTATTTCTATATTTATCGATCAATACATTGCCTGTTTGTTTATTTTGTTTAATGAACCTATTTTTGTTATTGTTCCAAGTGATAATACACTGCGAGCATTGTTGTTAAAAGTGGTAATAAACTGCCAGCAGTGTTGTTACAAGTGGTAATAAACTGCGAGCATTGTTGTTACAAGTGGTAATAAACTGCGAGCACTGTTGTTACAAGTGGTAATATACTGCCAGCATTGTTGTTACAAGTGGTAACAAACTGTGAGCATTGTTGTTACAAGTGGTAATAAACTGTGAGCACTGTTGTTACAAGTGGTAATGACATGCGAGCACTGTTGTTACAAGTGGTAATAAACTGCGAGCATTGTTGTTACAAGTGGTAATAAACTGTGCGCACTAGGTTACACATGCAGACGTAACAGGCTACTGCTGCTGCTGCTGATGATGATACTAAAGAAGCGTAACAGTGCTTACACTTAAGACCTGGTGTACTCACCTACTACAGATAGCATAACCGACTGGTGGAGCGTTGGAGTGGTGTTTATCTGGCACGTGTACAAGCCTTGGTCGCCATACTTGACGTGTTCAAACTTCAGATTCCACTCGTCGTCATGGTGACGCGAGATGCTGATCCGGTCGTCATCAATGATTCTGTCCTCATTCAGAGTCAGGACAGTGTTCCACTGATCGGTCCAGGCCACCTGGAAAAGTACAATCCTGGAAATTAACTCTGGGTTCTTCAGGACTGATATATATCTATATATTAGAGCTGTACCGAACATTCGCTTCGTATTCGCTTCGAGGCTGAAAAGTGAAGATAATAAGTATTCGGTATTCGGTCGAATACCGAATAGTGAACCTACAAAGTATTCTGTATTCGGCCAAATACTTGCGGTCGGGCCGAATACGAATAGTGGTTACGTTACACCCGCTTCTGCATTCACTGCGAATTACGTGTTATAATACTTAAAATTATTTCATTCCTAGATATTAGTTACCACAGACTGACTGAAGGATGAAAAACATAATTTTTTTTAACGTTTAGTATTCTGTACTAATTTTTTTTAAAATATCTATCTATACACTATTCGTAATCGTGTTCGTATACGGCCGAATAGTTAGCCCCGTTTTTCGTATTCGGCCGAATAGTGAGTGATAATCACCTCTTCGGTACAGCTCTAATATATATATATATATATATATATATATATATATATATATATATATATATATATATATATATATATATATATATATTCAATCAGGAACCTATAAGTCGATAAAAATAAGACCACGCACCATTTGCACAGTGAGCCATTGGTCGCTTTACTTACTACATCTAAAAAAAAATTCTTCACGTTTATGTAAAACGTCGCGTTTATATCATTACAATAAAAGAAATTATATTTCTATTTTTGTAATTCATTTTATAATGCATTTTAAAATATGTTTCTATGAAATACATAATATGAAACCATTTATTTGTCAATTAAATTAGATTACTATTAAATGGCATAGTCACAATATAAAATTAAACTAACGACAAAACAAGTCAGTAAGATTATACATCAGAAATACACGTAATTTGCAGAAGTAAAAACAGTTAAAGAATTACATGCTATTTTCATCGCTGTTATAGAGTTACTCAAAGCAGTACATTTAGAAAGTTGAACATGAAAAAAAAAAAAAAAAAGGAAATAACATATTTGTGGTGGAGCAGGCTAGAATTAGTTTGTTGTAAGTTACAACCAGGGTATACACACATGAGAGGTTTGTATACCCGGTTAAGGTCGAATTAATTTGGTGGGGTGGGTGGAAAGAGGAAACAACGTGTAAAAAAAAAAAATAGTGAGAGAGGTTGAGAATATAAAGAAACTAAAAGCTAGAGATACAAAAAATATAATTTCAAAAGGACATCAAATAAGCACACAGAGGAAAGTAAAGCACACATGAGAGAATAGACAACAAAGCGTTTATTTTAACAAGACACTCCTTACCAAGGATTTTTTTTTTTTTTTGTTAAAAAATTTCCAGGTATCCACACAAAGTGTCTATAAAAGGTGTCAGTACCCCCCCCCCCCTTTTCCCCCCTTACAAGTCGGCTCAGTGTCTAAGTCAATGCGAACGCTTCACAATGCCGGGGTGCCGGGTTCGATCCCAGCTGCGGGCCATGCGCCTTGCGATAGTTTCGACGGTGGTATTAAAAAAGCCGACCGTTCAATAAACAATGGCAAACTACTATTTTAACTTGCCTTAAAAAAAACCACACACCAGGCAGTGGATGTTGGGGTTGGTTCTGCAATGTCATGTAAAGGATACGCAACTACCCTGACTCTCCCACAAAGTGCCTATAAAAGGTGTCAGTACTCCCCACAAAGTGCCTATAAAAGGTGTCAGTACTGCCCCACAAAGTGCCTATAAAAGATGTGAGTACTCCACACAAAGTGTCCATAAAAGGTGTCAGTACTCCCCACAAAGTGCCTATAAAAGGTGTCAGTACTGCCCCACAAAGTGCCTATAAAGGTATCAGTACTCCCCACAAAAGTGTCTATTAAAGGTGTCAGTACTCCCCACAAAGTGTCCATAAAAGATGTCAGTACTCCCCACAAAGTGCCTATAAAAGGTGTCAGTACTCCCCAAAAAGTGTCTATAAAAGGTGTCAGTACTCCCCACAAAGTGTCTATAGAAGGTGTCAGTACTCCCCACAAAGTGTCTATAAAAGGTGTCAGTACTCCCCAAAAAGTGCCTGTTATAGCAGTGCTGACAAAGTGATGCATAAAACAGGTGCCGGTACTGACTACCGTTCCAAACCACCAAAAAAAAAAAAAAAAAAAAAAAAGTCCTGTACTGACAAAGTTCTTCTTTTGTAAAGTTCCGATGCATAGTGTCCATGCCTATATTTAATTTATTCAAAATGTTCGCCTTTTGAATTATGAATTTGGAAAATTTGTAATGCATGTAACTTTAAATGTTATCTTTACGTTAGATAAAGTTCTAAGGCATACAATGCAACAGGTTCATTTACAAATAATTATTATTTTGAATGTTTTATTAATTCAGCATTGATCTAAACTCATTACAGTGTAAATAGTTACATTTGTTTAGAGAACACGTTTGGCAGGAACATATTGCCATTCAACAATGGGTTTCCGAGCTGGTAGCCCCAAACTCAATCTTCAGTAGATTGAATAAAAACATGTAAAATGTTCGCTATTTTTACAGTTTGCAGCAGAAAAACCTCCCAACTCCTGGTAAGATGAATAATCTGCTTCTTCTTCTTCGCGTTCACCAGCTGTACACTCTGGCGGAAAGTTCTGGTTGCTCGTCCACTACTGAACTGCAGTCCTGCTCCAGAACCTGAGTGTTGCGTGTGCATCAGTTTTACAGATCTCATTCTCTTGAATACAGACTGTTGGTTCCTTACCTCACCGGCAGATGCACTCCGACTTCAAAGGAAGCTCCCCAATTAGTCGACTCTTACGACATGCTTTTGGGGAGGCAGTGGGTCTATTCTTGTTTTCCCTTACAATTGGGCCCCGGATCCCACACGGGGGAGATGAATAATAATATAAGTAAATAAAACTTATATAAAAACTTATATAAAACAGGAAAACAGAGAAATAAAAAAAATCGAATTAAATATATATATATAGCTGTTACATTACGAAATTTATTGAGGAGCATAAATAATTGCCTAAAAGTTTATCATACAGTCTGGAGATTTTTAAAAATCTCATTCTGTACACAGACCATAAAGGCAGATCTCAGATACTCCGTTCAACCTCAAAGAAATTATTATTAGAGCACCCGTAGAGGCTACCCCAGCCAGGTGTCACCTGCAATCTAATGCGGTTAAGGAAAAACGAAGTAAGAAGAGTAAGCACAATAAAGTCGGTGGTCTGTGGCGTTGTGAACACGCTTCGTAATACTGCGGTGCCGGGTTCGATCCCAGCTGCGGACGGTTTTGCAACACAACTTCTTGCGTTGGTTTGGACAGTGGTACCGAGAGCCGACTGTTCGGGGGGCAATGGCAAACTACTGAACGTAAAACTTGGCTGGAAAAATCACAACAGACAAAATTCTGGGAATGGTTCTGCGACGTCATGTAAAAGACTTGCAACCAACTTCTCCATGACAATAAAATCGCTGTGCCCTAATCCAGGTATTTTAGACGTTACGGGTATTTTAGACGTAACGGGTATTTTAGACGTTGCTGTGTATTTTAGACGTTACGAGTATTTTAGACGTAACGGGTATTTTAGACGTTGCTGTGTATTTTAGACGTTACGAGTATTTTAGACGCTACCTGTATTTTAAACGTTACTGTGTATTTTAGACATGACTGGGTATTTTGGACGTTACTGTAAAAATATGTCGCTTCAGTGTTTTTTTGGCTATGTTCTTGGTTATTCATTCACACCTCTTTTACTCTAGGGTGCAGATACTGGCCAGACATCGGTAGACTTTTTTATCAGCAGTTTTTCTGTTTAGCTGTGTTTAATTCCAATCCTCTGTCAGGAAATGTGGGATGTTTTCTTCCTAGCGAACACTGGGGCGTCCTAGAGAACTAGTTCCCTGCTTCTTCACCTCCCATACCTGCCGTGGTGGCCGATTCTATTCCATTCTGCCCACATGTCCAAATCATCTTAACTGTGACTGGTGCGCTCGGGTTAGTAAGGTCTGCTTTTAAAGATCATGACGTATTGTTTGGCTGCCAACTTTGTCCATTCTTCGGTTTTTTGTGTGATTTCGTGTATTGAAAAGCTGAAGTTGTAACACCTCTTTACTGCCCAATGAACCGCAGTTAATCCCTTTCCTTGGAGGAGCTGCTGGTGACAGTGTTAGTATTCTGGGCTTTCGTGCAGGACATCTGAGTTTAAAACCTTGGTGAGGGCATTTTCATTTTTGTCAAGCAAAATCAACGTCCTAACATGTAAACTACGTGGTGACTGTACTAATCATGCGGCCCTTAACATCCAAACTCAGAGCTCCTCCCCTCCCCCCGCCCCAGTCCTATACGACCTCTAAAATGTTATTACATGAGGTAAAAGAATTGTATTAGTCCTGTCTATGTGTTTGATTTTACGGTCGACACTAAAACAATGCTGTGTATAGATGTGTTGAGAACGACCAACCTTTTCTTTATTGTAAACCTTTTTTTATCATCATCTTCTTAAAGTCTATGCTGTATGGCATTGGTAGTCGTGTTTATCCAGAAGCTTCTGTCTCGTGTACTTTCAATTAACTCTGACACAGATGATTCTTCCATGCCATGATGTCAAACTGTCCAGCATCTTCTCTCTCAGTCTCCCTCTGCTTCTCTTTCCCACCAACTTTCCTACCGGCACGATGTACTCTAGTTTTCTCATTCTCATCGCATGACCTAAGAATGTATATTTTCTCTTTCTGATGTGGGCAATCAGTCCTTTCGTGAGTCAGTTTCTTTGAAGACATCTTCATTACTCTTATCTGTCCACGGTATTCTCATCATTTGTGTGTAAAACAACATTTCCGCAGCTTCCTAAACAGTTTCACTAATCTACCAACTGTCGACGATTCACTTCAATATATCAAGATATGATTTATTAAGCTTTTAAGAATTCTTTTTATTATGGCAGAACGGAACAGTATATGCATAGTAACACCGACGATAGGATTAAAAGTTAAACAGACTTACACAGTTCCTGATAGTTTGGTGCAA